TTTAATTATTTTTAGAAACAATAAATTTTGTAAAATAATTTAGTTTACATATAAAATTAAAATTTTTAATTATGTTCTAAATAAAAATATACTTTTTAAACCGCCTTACCATTTTAAAAAAAAGTTAATGATAGTTTTCAAACCTATTTTTGTTATATATATTAATATATATATATATATATATATATATATATATATATATATATATATATATATATATATATATATATATATATATATATATATAAAGTAATAATAATTTCTCTGTTTATATTTAAAATTTATTGAAAAAATAAGATTGTTTTTTTTTAATGTAATCGTTTTCTCCTTAATTATTCTTTTCTCTATTATTCTCAAATTATTCTCAATTAAAATAAAAAAATTTTCAATTAAAATTTCTCAAATTATTCTCAATTAATTATTCTCAAAAAAATGCCGTTCGCGACCAAATCTTAAATATTAGGAAAATATCTCCTTAAATCTCCTTAAAATCCTTAATTTTAGCCTTAGTTTTAATAGCTGGAACCCTGTATGAGTCTGAAGAAGAAGAGTTCATAAATGGTTTTAGTCATTTTTTTAATGTTTCTATAGAAGTTGAGTTTCGTGTGTTCAAAGATAAACCGTTCCAAATTCGAGGTGCAGTCATACAAAAAGATTTTGAGCCCAGGAAGGTTTTTTGTTGACGACGTGTAAGTTGCCAACTGTCTAATGATCTTGTATTTTATAAGTTTGGACTTCTAGGAGTTAAAATAAATATGCAGGATATTTTTGTAATAAAATTTTATATGTGATAACTGATATTTTATAGATTATTCTTTGATGTATTTGTAACCAATAAACAGATTTCAGCAATATTTCTGATTTTAAATGGAAAGGAGAATGAAAAACAATACAATGTGGTGAAGTGGTGAAGTGCACGAATGTGGTGAAGTGCACGAATGTGGTAATTGCAGGATTTAATAATATTGTTTATGTGCTTGTCCATAGAGAGCTTTGAATCTTGGATGACTCCAAGGATTTTTACTGAATTTATTGTAGTTATTGTGGTTCCAGAAAATGCAATATTCGAATCATTTTTATATTTACTAGTTTGTTTTCTAGATCCAAAAAAAATAGCTTCTGTTTTATTTGGATTAGGCAGAAGTCCGTTTTCTAGAAACCATGTTGTTACTGCATTAGCACACTCAGTGATTTTGTTGACGCTATCTTTGCCAGGACTGAGGAAAGTATAAAGTTGGGTATCATCAGCATATTGATGATGATTTGTATCAAATTTAGTTATAATATGGTATACAGGTGAAACAAACATGGAAAATAGAAATGGGCCTAATACACTACCCTGTAGTACTCCTGTTGAACTTGCTATTAGTGTAGAATTTGATGATCGAATAGAAACAAAAGATTTTCGAGAGTGCAAGTATGATGTTAGCTATTTTAATGCAATATCTGTGACACCAAATTATCAGCAGGCTGTGATCGATTGTATCAAATGCTGAAGATATGTCCAGAGATAGCAGAGTAGTGGTCAAATCATCATCAATATTTAGCAGGATGTCATTGCATATCTTTAATAGTGCTGTTTCAGTTGAGTGATAAAATCTAAAACCAGATTGTAGAGGATTGAAGTTGACAGATGATGTTACGTGTGGATGAAGACGAGATAAAGCAAGGTTTTCAATAATTTTTGAAATTGTATTGAGATTTGATATGGGACGTAGATTTGTTAGGTCAAATTCTACTGGTCCTGATTTTTTGGGAATTGGTGTTATTTGAGCAACTTTATGAGGCTGAGAAAATTCCGGATTTGAATGAGAGGTCAGCAAGGTGAGCTATAATTGGACTGAATATTTCTGAACAAGATTTAAGGATGTTTGTTGGAATAATATCTACAGGGGGAGATAACTCTGAGATAAATTTAGATATCGGGTTTTTTGCAAGCTTTTCCTGGATAGTGTTCTTTATAATTTCAAGTTTGCGTATGAAATATTGACTTATTGTATCGCATTTTGCTTCTGGTATTGTGTTATTAGATTTAGAACTATTTGAATGTAGTAAATTCTTGGCAATGTTCCATGTTTCTTTTTAATCACTGTATGCTAAATTTAGTTTGGCCTTATAATGACTACATCTGGATTTGTGAATTGCTGCTTCAGCCTCACGGCATGCAGTTTGATATAATTTTTTATCTAATTAACTACCAGTTTTTCTATAAAAACGCTCCAGTTTACGATGTCTGATTTTTTTATTCTTAGCATCTGAAGATAACCATTTATCATCATGTTTACCAATTTGCATTGAATATTTTCGAATGGGTACTAAATGATCAAGAACAGTTGTTATACTTGATCTTATTTGTTCAGCAAAATCATCCTCGTTGTTTTTAGGTGAAACGAAACTTTAGTTTTCTAAAGTTTCGTTTTGAAAACCAAGCAGTTTTAGTATTTAAAGGTTGATGATAAAGTTCTACTTGAATCATATAGTGATCTGAAATACCCTCGTCAGTTACTTGGATATTCTTGAGAGAAATATCATCATGTTGATTTATTACAAGATCAAGCAAGTTGACTATACCAGTAGTAGATGATTTGCGAATTAGAGATTGAACTCGTTGTGTCATGTTGTAGGTCTCTAAAATCTCATTAAATCTTGAATCGCAGGTTATTGGAGTAGTACCTGGGCAGTTAAAGTCACCACACAGAAGTATTTCTCCAGATAATGTTTGAAGTTCTTCTAGGAGTTCAGATAATTCGAAAAAGAAAATGTTTGTTGGAATGATTGGATTTGATTAATAAATAGCAACAACATTGTAGATAGTATTTGCCAGATTTAGTTTAACTGATGTACGTTCATAAGACAGACAGGTAGATGATAATGAGAGTGGTTTGATATTTAAGTTGTCTATATATATTATTGCAACGCCTCCTCCATGATGGTCTGATCGGCAGTATTGAATTGTTTTAAAGCCTGGTGGGGCCATATCTTCTTTAATTGCAGTAGGATCGTCTGACTTTATCCAAGTTTCAGTAAGTATAAAAATATCTAGAGAATAATTTTGCACTATATCATGAATGATAGCAGATTTTTTCATGGCAGAACATTTTGGATACCCAAGTTTATTGCAGAGGTTCTTTTAATTTAATATATGTAAATTATGCTGATTTAATTTCGATCCATTTGAGTTCACCTGATTGTATACCCCAATAATATTTTTTTCCATTGTGCACATTGTATCGTTGCCTCCCATTTGTTTCCTTAACCTCTTGAGCAAGTGCTGCATTTCTAACCTTTCTAACTTTTCTGAGTTCATTTTCGAACAATCTCTCATTTGCTGTTTTGTCTTTATTAATAAAAATGTTTTTGAAGTTAAAACTGTCCTTAAACTTTTTAGAATTTTTAGTTATAAAATTTTGAGTTTCTTTGTTCTCCAATTCAACTAAGATGAGGTCAGGTGGTCCTTCTGGTCTTTTAGCTTTACTAGTTAGTCGAATTATTCTTTTTGCATTCGTTATTGAAAAATCTGTTTTAATTGCCTTAAGTATTGTTTCAATGGTTTGTTTATCATTTTCTTCATTAACTTGTTTGTCTAAAATATGATCATCAACTCCACTTATAACGATATTGTTTTCAATTCTTTTTTTGTCATTAAACTCATTTGTAATTTTTGCCATCATTACCACTTCAGTTTCTTTTGGTTTTAATTGATTTTTCTGAATTGATGTTGCTTGTGCATATGTGAATATTGTTGTTGGTTTATTTGTTGTTGCTGTTAAGATATTTATCTTTTCATCTTCAAGAATTTTAAGTCGTTTTAAAAGGTCTAAAACAATATATGATATTTTGCCACACTATTTATGCATGTTTTTGGTAACTTCAGCAGATGCACTTGGAATTGTTGGCCAATTTGGTTCTTCTAAGCATTTCTAGTCAAGTTCCATGCTTTTTTTATTAGTATTTTTTTTCAAATATATGAGAGGGCTACCACTCTAAATAACAGTGGATTATCTCCTGATGTCTTCTGAAGGAGGGCTACCACCCTGAATAACAGTGGATTACCTCTTGAGTATATATATTAACCTTATTAACACAAATTCAACATTAAGTTTTTTGTGTTTTTTTTTCCTTATATATAACGTATATATATATATAACAAAATCTTGACCTAAAGCAATCCACACAATTATCCTTAAATAATTAAAAAATTAAAAATTTTTTAATTATATAAGGATAATTGTGTGGTTGAATTTTCTATATTGTTATTTTATTGTTACTGCATAAAAATTAAAAAGAAAAAATAATTAAAAAAAAAAACAACAACAACTTAATATTGCATAAAACATATTATAGTTATTGTATAAAATGTTGAAAAATGTTAAAACACTTGAAACAAATTTGACGTATCTAAGTGAATGTATCTTTAAGACTGAGCCAAAAATCAAACTTTTCACCAAACTTTTTTTTGTGCATTAGTTAGTATAAGTTAAGGGGAAACTTACGCAAGTTGTTTTATAAGTTCAACTCTAAAAAATTACTGATCACCAAGCTAAAATGGTATTCAATAAACTTTTTAATGGTATTCAATAAAAATTGTTTACTCATTTATATAGCAGAGTTTTATAAGAATATTGTTATTTTATTACGCTGTAAAAAATATTATTTATTAATGATCCCTAATTTAAATTTATTTAGAGATTATATTTAAAATGTTTGTTTTATAAAATTATGAAACCCTGGTTTATTAAAATACGCCCAGAAGGGGAAATAAAAATGTTATTATTTATAGTATTTTCAAGAATTTGAAAAGAAGTTTTTACTAAAAAAATTTGAATGTAAGAATAGTATTATTGTGTCAAGAAAGTTGTTGATGGAATGTTTTCTATTTGTAAAAGTGTTGCAGGTTGTATGTTTTTTATGCCTCTTGTTTTTTATAACTTACATCTATCTTTTTTAAAAAAAAAATTGTATGTTATAAGTTCAGAAATAAATTTTTGTATTGGTTTTAG